ATATATATATATATATATCTATATATGTATATATATATATATATATGTATATATATATATATATATATATATATATATATATAGATATATATATATTTATATATATATATATATATATATATATATATATATATATATATATATATATATATATATATATATATATATATATATATATATATATATATATATATATATATATATATATATATATATATATATATATATATATATATATATATATATATATATATATATATATATATATATATATATATATATATATATATATATATATATATATATATATATATATATATATATATATATATATATATATATATATATATATATATATATATATATATATATATATATATATATATATATATATATATATATATATATATATATATATATATATATATATATATATATATATATATATATATATATATATATATATATATATATATATATATATATATATATATATATATATATATATATATATTTTTTTTTTTTTTTTTTTGCAGCAGCAGCAGCAGCAGCAGCAGCAGCAGCAGCAGCAGCAGCCAGGGTGCAAGAAAAAAGTAAAATAACAGACATTAAATTACAGAAATGTACCAAAAATTTTAATTAAATGAAATTTATTTAAGTTAACATCTCTTATTTTATGGTAAATTATAGTAAACAGCACAAAAAAAAAACAAAAAAAAAAAACAACGTAAAATAGCGAAAACATTTTTACACTGTAGTTTAAGCACATACTTTTAAGGCTTGCGGAATGACAGACACATTTAAATAGGTGCACAAATTTCCAAAATTATTCAGTGTGTTTAGCCTACAGAAGTGTTTAGCTGGCTGGTTAGTAATTGACAGTAGCTATGTTTCCATCCACCTCTATTGATGGAAAAGCTCAAAAGGATGGAAAAGTTGATGGAAACACCATGAATCGCATACATTTAGAAAATGCTCATTAAAAATGTATGTGCATCACTGAGTAGGATAAACTTTTTATTCGATAAGAAAAGATGCGCATAAACTACGATGAATACACTTTTAACGCACAAATTTCAGTATGCGCATTAAAAAAAGTCATGTGATTTTGTGATAAGAGATCATGTGATGATGCAAATGTGTGTAAATGGACAAACCAGCAGGCTGAGCACACTGTATGTATATAGCTCAGGGTTCGGAGAATTCCATAACCAGGCTGATTCCTGTACTGCATTTTCATGATTTGTTTAGATAGTCACAGCCTCTTAAAATGTATAGAAAATGCAGTGTACACTCCATTGCCCCTCACCTCGGCTACCCTCTAGACCCACCTTCAGTTCCACAGGTTTTTTTCTTCATCACATTATTTGCATAATCCATTTTGTGAATCATGCACTAAAACAGCACAGCTAGTATGTGCAACTACAAAAAAACAATTCCAGCACACACAATTCCTACTTAGTAAAGTCCCCAAACAATCTCAGTGAGAACTGAAAGGCTCAGATAATAGCAAACCTAACCCGTATCACCTACTATCATCTGTTAAGCAGACATGCTGCACAAAAAAACAGATATAACAGCTGTACACCTGTGCACAGTTTCCCTCATGTAAGTTGAGATCAGAGTGCAGCACGCTGGATGCCAGAACTTTTATCTGCACCACCACAGGCGTGTGATTGCTCACACTAGCTCTCAGTGGCCGATGCATGGTGGATTGAATGGAGGGAAAGGGAGTTCTGTTATGGTTCACAGATGACGGGGGAAAATAAATAAATAAAAACATTCTGACTCTTACCAAAAAGGGAGTAAACGATGCCCACTGTGATGTCTGCAGCAACTGGGATGTTGGACTGGAAGGTGCTGTTGTCCAGTCCTTGCATCTGTAACACACACACACACACACACACACACACACACACACACACACACACACACACACACACACACACACACACACACACACACACAGTTTCAGGTGACTTTTCATAGATTTTTCCATTGATTTTATACAACCCAAGCTCATTCTGGAAACGTAACCCCGCGGACGTTTCTGGAGACCGCGATTTACGTGGCCGGAGGTACATACGGCCGCGTTTAGTTTTTTCTAGCGAATGCTGCAGGGCGGTGTGGCGCCGCTCCGCTCCTCCTCTTCGCACTCGCCGGCCAACGGCTCGCCTCCGAGTGGAGGGCTTTCTCGATGCAACCAGTTTGTCCGCTTAGCTCACAGCGTTACGTCGGCGGAGCGAAGGCCCCGGAGGAGGAGGAGGAGCCAGCCGCGGAGACAACGACCGGGATCGAGTCCGGGGTACAGCGGTTCCAGAAATCAGGTAAGATGAAAAACAGAATCCGAAAAATAAGGGCGAGAACGCGGCGGGATCCGAAAATGCGGTCGAAATCGAAGACAAGGGCTTTTGCTTTTTTTTTTTTCTGGACGGCTTTTGCAAACCGTAGCTCGGGTTTAGGGAAGGAGTAGGAGGAGGAGGAAGAGGAGGGCGGCCGGGTCGGCCGATCCGGCGGCTTTTCGCGCGAGAACGGCCCGGCGCGAATGGCGCCCGAGACGCGAAAAAGTGCGCACAGCGGCCTCTCGCGGATCCGCAAAAACAAAAACCGCTCGAATACGTACCTCCCGGGACGTATCTCGCGGTCCGCAGAAACGTCCGCGGGGCTACGTTTCCACAATGAGCCCGGGTTGATTTTATAACAATTAAATATGTGGAATTTATCCTAAAATGCAATTTTATGTTGCGAAAACTACTGTAAATAATGGAGCTGCGCATTGATAGATTTGTTCTTAGGTGTTTGGACCCAACTTTGGGTTCTCTGTAAACTGGACTGACAGCTTCAATTTACTAGAACTTCAATGTTAATCTGTTTGACACAAACTACATTAAAACATTATAGAAATGAAGAATAATTAAATTGAATTAAATAACGTAATTATATTATCTAAAAGACATTGCACTTAGTGTAATGGATTTCTTTTTAAATGTCAACTAGTGATCGGTCAATCTTGAACGATTTGTTCATTTTGAACGAATCTTCAATATGACTCGGTAACTAGGAGTCCTCTCAGGGAGTGATTCGTTCATCCGCACGTGCGCACATTTGTGCCGGTGGTATCATTCATTTCAAGTCTTTTGAGCCGTTCATTGTGGAAAGGTAGAAGCCAATCATATGCAGTTAGAGCCGGAAAAAGAATTGATCCGTTCATCTCTCGAGTCCTCTATCGGGTCTGATTCATCCGTTCACCACAGGCCAATCATATGCGTTTAGAGCCGGACAAAGAATTGATCTGTTCAACTTTCGAGTACTCGGGTTTGAGTCGTTCTGTCATGTGATGAACGAACGACTCAAGAATCAGAAGACTCGAAAGGTGAACTATATATCATGGCTCCTATCGGCTCAGACTGTGTACATTGGTTAAGATTATATGTGACTGTCAGTGTAACGTGAACCAACCACTGACATTTGAAGACATGAAGAGGTGAGCTGAGCAAAGACACAACAATACCTTCAAACAAAAGAGCAGGTAAACATTATTTTCTCCTTCTTATAGTATTCTATTTATGACTTATTTGTTGTGTGATCAACATTTTGGGCCAGTTGTAGATGTGTTTGGAAGCAATTCGTAACATTTTAATAATATTTTGGCAAATTGAACCAAATGAACGAAACCAGTGAAACCAATGACTCGAAAAAAGTTTCGTTCATCAAAGATTCAAAGATTCGAGTCAGTAAAATGATCCGAACTTCCCATCACTAATGTCAACTAATTTCGACTTTACCTTCCACTGTAACAGTAAATTAAAATAAGATGCTAACATTGATTTTACTGAAATGAATATATAACCTTTCGCTGTCTAAGTATTTTTTTATTTTTTTATTAGTAGGACAAGATATAAGTAGGCTATTTGGTCAACAACACATCCCAAAGCTCAAAGGCACAGTGTGTAATTTTTTCCACTAGAGGACGCGCATTCAAAACCACAATAATGGCGTACAGTAGTTTGATGATGTCGAAAAGGGTGGATTGATGACAACTGCACTGCTGAAGAAATTATTTTAAGGAGAGTCAGATATCATGATAGTAGCGATGTAGTGATTCATCGTGAGCCGGTTGAAAATCAATTTAAATATGTGATGATTCAAAATGGTAGAAATCTTGAACGAAATGCGATACATTTTTTTAACAGAGGCGGTGCTGTGTTTACCTGCACATCAGCGGTGAGCAAGAGGTGGGGCGGCAGAGTAAAATGACAGCGTTGGAGTGCACCAGACCAAACACAAACTGTGTGCAAAATAATGCGAAAAGATGTTTACTTAAACTAACAGAACAATGGATATGATGCACATCTGTGTTTCCCTGAGTGGGGGGGTGCTGAGGGGGTGCGGCGCGCCTGTTTAGACTGACACCGACACAAGGAGTCATGGTGTTAATTTGCTTCTTTTGATGACAGCAGTAAACAATTTAACAACTATTTGAACTGTACAAGCTAAAATGTAACATTTATTTTTATCTTTTTTATTCACAAAGTTGCCCAGAGATGGGTTGCGGCTGTAAGGGGATCCGCTGTGTAAAAACTAGCTGGATAAGTTGGCGGTTCATTCCGCTGTGGCGACCCCGGATTAATAAAGGGACTAAGCCAACAAGAAAATGAATGAATGAATGAATGAATAAATGAATGAATGAATGAATGTATTCTCAAAGTGTGCAGCTTTTGTCAATGCAGTGTATCTTAATGGGCTTCTGGAGGAACATTTCAAGTACACCACTAGTACACTGACATTAGTATGCCTACTAAGTAAAGTATACTTTTATATTTTATCTTTACTTAAGTATACTTTTTTTTCCTAAGGGTGTATTTACTGACTTCCCAAGATCAGTCTTGTACAACCAGGGGGAGTATTGCTTCTCTGACAGCCAAGTTGGGTCAAAGCTAGGGATGCTCCGATCAGGTTTTTTGCAGCCAATAAAGACTACTGATTCCTTGTCATGGTGATTGGCTGATACTGAGTGCCGATATTAATGCTCAAGCTTTACAATGCATTTGGCACATTTTCCCTCTAAGTGTTAACCATAAGGGAAGATCTTGCCTTACCTAAGAGAATAAATGAAGAATACTGCATATAATACCTTAAACATGTCTCTAATAACCATTATGGCGTGAAGGTGTCAAGGCCAGAAGCAGATTTACAGAAAATAATTCATTCATTCATTTTCTTGTCGGCTTAGTCCCTTTATTAATCCAGGGTCGCCACAGTGGAATGAACCACCAACTTATCCAGCACGTTTTCACGTAGAGGATGCTCTTCCAGCCTCAACCCATCGCTGGGAAACATCCACACACACTCATTCACACACGTAAAAAAATAAAAATTGAAAACTGTTTTTATTCTAGCCAAAATAAAGCAAATAAGACTTTCTCCAGAAGAAAAAATATTATCAGACATACTGTGAAAATTTCCTTGCTCTGTTAAAAATAATTTGGGAAATAATTAAAAAAGAAAAAAGAAATCAAAGGGGGGCGAATAATTCTGACTTTAACTGTACCTACATACATACATACACACGTTTATACACAGAGACGACTGTGTGTTTCCTATAGGTGGTTTGTCTCACTCACCTGTGTGAAACACATTCAGAATTGCACAAGGTTTTCCAGAAACATGAAGTGTAATTTCAGGCCAAACACTTCTATTTGCCTAATCATTGCTTTCTGGAGCCACCCCAGGCCTATCAGCACAAAAGCGGTTTCATTTTCCACTGTAAAGCAGATAACGGATCTCTTTGGAATGTAATACAAATGTGTCAGCCATTGTCTTGGTACTGTATGGGTAATGTAAACACTGATCTGGACGATGATATCTCTCCTATACTTACTGAGTTAAATAACAAAATATGTAAATACACGAATAAATAAATGGTGCTCTTTTATCTAACCAGCTATGGAGAAACTGGCAATCAGGAAACAGAGTGGCTACGTTATGCTATAAACGTCCAGAATTTCGGGTTTGTAACTAAGGCTGTGTGATTTGGGGAAAATATATAATTGCGATTATTATTATTTTTTTGATAGATATTGCAATTTTGGTTGTGCGATTTGATTAAGAAACCAAGCTTGAGCTCTATATTCTGTATTGTAGCTTCTTACTGCTCAAATGCAGTAAGTGTTAGTTAAAAAAGATGGTAACTTTAACATTTATTCAAATTAGTTTTTAAATATATAGAAATTAAACACTTATTTTCTCTAGAGCAAACAGTAAACACAAATAAAATGACCTTACCTTTCTGTAAACAAGTTCAACTCAAATTAGGGAGATAATTTCACTTGTTATACAAACAAAAAAGTGGTACTGCAAAATGCAGGGTACGCCCGGGATCCTCCAAATGAAATTTAAAGACCTTTGCAATACCATTTTAAATGAAATTCAATGCCAACTTTGTACACATTCCGACAGAAGTATAAGGGAAAAAATGTAAAATCTGAATCAATTTTGAACCCTAGATAATAATTACGTACAAGTGACTACTTGAATTGAATAAAACATTTTATTTAAATGGTCAGTTATATTAAATACATACGCAACAGCGTAACGCACATTTGATTTTTAATAACAAATAAATTTGAATATGTTGTTTTCGCAAAGACTTCCAAGTCCTGTCAACTTCTGCTTTTGGCTTTTTCTTAACGCGTTTGCAATAGAGTCGGTATTGAGTCACAGTGAGATACGATGTTCCTTGCCTGTGGTGGCTTCTAATGTAGAAATTAGAGGTGTGAACCTACTAAGTGTGTCATGATTTCGATTTTACATCGAAATTCATCGAAATTCATTCTCAATTTTGATTATCGAATCAAAAAATGGAATCGTCGATGCTGCC